AAGTAGATAGAGCTATAAAATTTCCCCTAAGCAGTGCTTTAGTTGCCTCCCAATGCATGTTTAGATAGGTCTTAATTATCATTACATTGAAAATATTTTCTAATTTAGCTTGCTAGTTCTTCTTTGACCTCAATTTCCAGTGTTTTGCTTAACTTTCAAGTGTTGGGAGATTTTCCAGATATCTTTTCGTTATTGGTTTCTATTTTAGTTCTTCTGTATTTAGAGAATATTCTCTGTATAATTTAATTTATTTCTAATTTATTGAAACTTTTTATGGCCTAATAAATGTTCTGTCTTAGTAAATGTTCCATTGACAAATGAAAAGGATGTATATTTTGGAGCTGATGGTTGTAGTGTTTTATAAATAACCGATAAGGACAATTTAGTTCTGTCATGCTGTTCAGATTTTCTAGATAATTTCTAAATTTTTGTCTGTTTTTGGTACCAAATACTGATACAGTAGTGTTGAGCTGTCTCTTTATTATTTTATGTTTATCTGTTTGTCCCTTTAATTATTTAGTTTTTGCTTCATGTATTGTAAAGCTTTCCAATTTGGTAAATACATACTTAGTAATGCTTTTTCTTCTTGATATATTGATCATGCTATTCTTTAAAAAAAAAGTATCTTATCTCTAATACTCTTTGTCCTAGAGTGTATTTTTTCTGGCAATAATGTAGACATTCAGCTTTCTTACGATTAGTATTGGTAGGATATGTTTTCCCACTCTTTATCATGTCTTTCAGTTTAAGGGCATCCTAAAACATATAGCATATAGTTGTATCTTGCTTTCTGTTTTTAATTCAGTCTGAGAATTTCTGCCATTGATTGTTTTTAGTCCATTTACATGATTATTGATATTTTAAGCTTCTATATATAATTTTGATAATTTTTGTCTACCCTGAATTAATATTATGTTATTCACATAAGAACCTTACAAAAAGCATATTTCCATTTGTCATTCCTGTGTGCTATTTTCTCCATGCATTTTACTTTTATACATTATTTTTCCCTTGAGTCAATTATTTTTAACTGAATTAGGAAACGAGCAAAATTATTTTATATTTACCCATATATTTACATTATCTTGTACTCTTGTACGTGTGTGTATCTGTGTATTCATAGTATCATTTCAGCCTGAAGAACTTTACTATTTCATTTTGTTTTGTTTTTGAGTATAGTTTGCACACAATGTTACATTAATTCTAGGTGTACAACATAGTGATTTGATTGTTTATACCTTATGTTTTGTTCATTATAAGTATAGCTACTGTCTGTCCCCATACATTGCAATTACAGTATCATCACCTGTATTTCTTACGCTGTGGCTTTTATCCCCATGATTTATTCATTCCATAACTGGATGCTTATATCTCCCACTCCCCTTCACCCATTTTGCCTAACACTTCAACACCCTCTCTTCTGGCAAGCACCGTTTGTTTTCTGTATTTATAAGACTGATTCTGTTGTTTGTTCTTTTTTCTTTTTTTTTTTTTTTTT